TCGAGACACCGAATTTTCAAGACTTTTTCTTCGCAAATTCCATGCTGCGTGTCTGTAAGGCTTAAATTCATATGATGTGATTTGATGCTGAACACATGCATAGATTTAACCATATTCAAGTATTTGATCAATCCACAAGTGGCAGAGCGGTGTAATAGCTGAACACTGGTAGTTCGACCTGAATTCTATTCCAGGCAAAAAGACAGACTGCATGGCTGTTTCTGTGTTTTTCCCCGTGTACGAGGTGAGTACGAGCTCGTTTTTCTTAGAAAGTCCTCCATGAAACCTTCCCATCTGTTAAGAAGATAGACCTCGCATGCTTTGCCATAATCAAATAAATCAAGCCAAACCACCAAGTATTCGAGCACCATCATACTTAAAAAAAAAATCGGATGTAATGGGGGTAGAATATATTTTAAATAACTGAAACTCATATCACCGTTTCTATAATAAGAATAGCAATAAAGCACGTCCATATTATAAAAAAGGTACACTAGTGAAATAAATTTAACCACATATTAAGACAAAAAGAGAAAAATATTTTAAACTGCCTTGATTTAATAATATTTGGCGTAACTTTTTGCGAGGTTCGGTTTAACACACGGTACTTAACTACATGAGCTTAATCAAACGCTACAAGTCTCAGATCTCGCTCGCTCTATTAAACTCTAGAAAACACATTGCCTCAATTTGAAGGCCAGCAATGCACAGCTCAGTGCTGCTGTTGTTGCTAATGCTCACTTGTCTGACCTATAGTCTGCCCAAGCCCACAAAATTCCTCGTAACAAGTTTACGCATGCCGTTGGTGACAGTGCGATTTAGCTCAATTCCGTCCCCCCCCCAATTTTGATGCAGGACACCCCGGGTAGACGAATCCGAGGGTCTACCACCAACTTCTCGAGAGGTCTTTCAGCTCGCCGCATATTTAGAGTGCCCCCATGCTGCACGGACATTATACATTTAAAAACATCCATGTCTTCTCCTGGATTCGAACTCGGGACCTTCCGCACAGCAGTCAGAGACGCTAACCCCTATACCGTTTGGGAGGCGCTCAATGTCATTGAATCACAAAGTAAATATATCATAATGATATATACATTGGCTACCCCGCTTCCAAAATGCTAGTTAAATTCGCTGTTTAAACTTAACTTAATTTGCATTCTGTTGCAAATGGACGGAAAAATAAAAAAGCAAAAAATAATTACCATAAGTTATAGATCTGTCATTTGAATGCTTGGTTATTGACTCCTCTAACGATGTAAAATTTAATAGATACTACTTCCGTACTTCAAAGCTTTCTTGGAAATGGAACTCGATAGTCTTCTTTTTAAATACATTCCTTCAAATTATAAAAGTTTTTAACACCATCAAACTCAATTCTTGTTGTAATGTAGATTTTTTAATAAACTAGTGGAATTCAATAGATAGATTTATCCCCCATGGAAATTCCAACTGCATTCTTATACAGAGGGAAATCCTATATATTAGTTGCAGAAATGTTGTACAGTCATTTAGAATTTTTTTCGAAGTCAGAAAACTGAAGAAATCTGCAATGCCCACGTTGAGATTCGAACTCAGACCTCCCGAATACGCGTCGAGTGTGCTTTCAGTTACACCACGAAGGCATGCGGAACGAAGCGAGAAAATATCTTATAATTTTAGTTTAATTAATTGCTTTCACTATTGTTGAAAAATTTATCTAAAAAAGAAATGCAGTTTACAATTTTTTCTTTTCACTAATTCATTCAATAGTTACCTTCCTATCTTGCAAACATTTTCTGAACTTTCATTTTAACTCGTATATTGAGACAAACTGATGATTGTTATGAGAGTGGTGCCATACCATATAATAATAATAACTCGTTGTAAAAATACAGATTTAATTTCTGTTTATATTGAAAAAGAAATTTATTAAAGATTATCATCTCCAGTATTCTTCTGTAATCTACCTTCCTTCTCTTCCTTGTGTTCTATTTCAAATGCTGTTTTATTTTTATCTTGTTTCGGTATATACGTAGCCTTGCTTTTAGACATTTAGTTTAGCCCTGCTTATTAGTTATTGCTAGTATTTAGATACTTCAGTTTACACAACGTTTTGGTTTTCATTCAATCCGTCCTGCACACTCGTTATCAAACTGCATTAGATGAAACGTCTCTGTTACAGATTTACTGAAAAATAATGTTCATTTTAATAACCATTTGTAGTTTAGCTATCCTCTTACTTTCATACTTAAAGAAACTCTCAAACCTCAAAATTCTGTTTTGTTTCTTAGCTTCAAATTCTTGACGTCAGTGTTCATCTGATCAATTATGCATGATTTTATCAAACTTCGAAAAACTTTCTTGAAATTAAAGTCAGGCATATCTAAGCAGCTAAACATTTTTTTTTTTTTTTTTTTTTTTAAAGAAGAGTATAGTGAACTATATTACGGCATCATATCGATTAATTATATGCATTTCGTTAATCAGCCGTTAATTATATGCATTTATGTTAATCAACCAATCATCATATGCACCAGCAGCCATTTCTCGTTAATTATAATCTGGTTGCAAGTTTTTCTGCTTCTTCTCTTCATTATGATTGAGAGATTCTTGATTTAAAAGATTTGACAAATCCAAGAAGTTTTACTGGACTCGAACTGTGTTTAAATTGGAGAAAATTTAGGAGTCATTCCTCATGTGTATTAAGAGCATGCTGATTAATATTAGTTATGAACATTTTACGAGGTAATTCCTGAAGATCCCATCTAGATAGAAATGGTTACGGTAAGCAATGTAACTAGTACATATTTATCTGTGATTCATCAAATTAAACTTTAACTTTCCAAGTTTCTTGTCGCAAGTTACAGACACTTTATGTCAGATCCTTCTGTGAAACGATTCATGTACAGGGTGTTTCAGTAGAGCGGGATCAAACTTTCAGGAGAGACAGAGTATACCTAGACGATGGAAAATCACATAACAGTGCACGATCGGAAACGCTTTTCTGGCGCGATAGTCACGACACAATACTCAAGAAAGGAAGGAAAAGAACAGGGTGAGGAAATGTGTGTTATGTTTAGCACAGCTAAAATTTTGGGATGGCTTTGTCTGGTGTACCTGAATGCAAAGTATCTTCAACATTAGATCGACAGAGGTGGTCCATTGCATTGGCTAACAAGATGACCAGATCTCATTTGCATTGACTACTTTCTCTGAAGCTGTGTCAAGACACTGGAGTACGAAACCCAAGTTAAGAGTGCTAAGGAACTTGTTGCATGCAACGCGGCTGCTGCTGAGGAAGTATGAGATACGCTCAATACTTTCCAAAGCATCAAATCTTCTATAATGCAGATGTGAGGCCTACATCACGATCTGGGGTCGTAATTTCGAACACCTTCTTCGATGATTGGCATCTGTTTTTATCCTTATGTCTTTGTTTCTGCTGTACTAGGAATAAGAAGCAAGTTTCCACACCCTGTTCGTGTCCTTCCTTTCTTGTATTTTGTGTCGTCATTACCGCGACAAGAAAGTGTTTCCGATCATCCATTGCTATGTGATTTTCCATCATCTAGGTGTACTTTATCTATCATGAATGTTTGTAACCGCATGGCTGAAACACCCTGTATAGTCCAACGGAGCGAATCACAATGGGTTTCTCGTCTGGCCCTCAGACTGAATTCCACTCTTGCGACATTTTCTTTTATGGAACCCTGTTAAAGCTACTATTTTTGTGTTGCTATTGTCATTCCATATTGATGAACTCAAAATCCGTATCGCCCATGCCAAATACTTTAATCATATTTGATATTCTTCGATGTTTGTGGACTGAAAGACCATGGACTGGATATACTTAGCGCAACAAAAATATCTCACATACATTATATATTATGTGTAACAAAAAAGTTGGTTAATTTAAGTTTAACGTAATGTATAACAGATAAATGCATTCCTATTAAATTGTTTGCTATAATAATTTGTAACAGAATAGATTGTAGAAGAATGGTCCTCTATGATTTGAGCATTTCTCAGCGCTGAAAATATCAAATAGTCCCTGATAGCTATATCCGTTTACTATCGGGCACAGACAGATGCTGCTATCGGGAATTTCTGGAGACCATAGCGGCAGCTCCTTCCAGAGATGAATGATTTAAGAACGGATGAAGCATTAATCCTTATTGTAAGATTCATACAGCAAAAAATAATAAACTCATTCTTCAAAACTAAAATATTTAATGGCACGCCCCACAAAAAGCAACATACATTTATGATAAACGTACTGAACCCAACGTCTTAACCCGTCTTAACTATTGGATACTAAACGTCTTAACTATTGGATACTTAGTAAAGAGTGATCTTAACTAAAATATTTAATGGCACGCCCCACAAAAAGCAACATACATTTATGATAAACGTACTGAACCCAACGTCTTAACCCGTCTTAACTATTGGATACAATTTTTTATTCCATACCATCAAAGTAGAAAATTTTCTCGTCCCAACACCCCGAAGATTTCATAGCGATGCTAAATATCCCGGAACCTTTATGTAAGTGGATGCATATTCACCAAGAACCTTTCAGAGAGCGCCTCAGTATCTTGTTGAAGGTAGCATTCTTCGTGATATGAGCTTAACTTCAGAAGGATGCAGTATGCCTTGGTTTCTTCTTGTCGAGGCATCCTTTTGTCTTGGTGAGCAATGACAAATTTGCAAAACGGTGACGGCACCCTTTTGAAAATTTACTCTTTTGGTCATACCAGCCCCATTTACCCCTGCTGGTAAGTATAATCAAATGTTCCACAACCACACATAAGCGAAGATAAATTGGGATTTATCCTGAAAAAAAAATGGTCCCATTCTAAACTGCTTTTCGATTATTCAGAACCGAATGCCTATTCTGTCCAAAATGCACTTATTCATCTTATAATAAATGTGCATGGAAAACTTGAAGTTTAAGTTGAATGATCTCAACTGATTCAAACTAAAATTCCCGCCAGCTAATTTATTTGTATATTTAACAGACAAAGAAACAAAAAAGCAGTTTGGCAATATGACGTTATTGTTTGGCTGTCGTCATCAGAATGTTGAGTTGTACAGAGAAGAAACTCAAAAAATGAAGGAGTTGGGAGTTCTGACACATGTTCATACTGCCTATTCACGGGTCCCTGGTAAACCAAAAGTAAGAACTTATTCATATTGGTTTGGAGTTGCTATTATTATTGCTTTTTTAATGCTGCATTTTTTAAAGAAGTGTTAATGTACTTATTCGGTCAACAGAAATTACAGAAAAACAATGATACAAAAGAGATCAATTTTATGGCTGCCAGACGATTAGTTGTGTTTTCTACATCAAGTCAGGGTTCTTCGAAATTTGCAATCAGAGGCGTAGCTATGGTTTTCAGCGCCCTGGGGACAACTGAAGATTTTGCGCCCCTTTCTCTCTGTGCCAAGAATGAAAAACATTTCATTCTAACATCAATTTGGTGCCCCCTGAAAGCTGCGCCCGGGGACAAATGTCCCCCCTTGCCCCACCCTAGCTACGCCACTGTTCGCAAGTTAGAAAATTTGCAGAAAGTCGAAAAAATGCGGAAATGTGAGAATTTTAAAATAAACATTTTTTCTTAGAATTTATAATTATTGTTTAGCTTATACTAAGACAATGTACGTAAAATACAGAATTTTATTTCATGCGTCGATGTTTCCGTGACCTGCTTCTCGCCTTTCCTTTTATGTTTACGACAGGGTTCATCTCGCCGCAACATCAAATAAAAGTCAGCCATCGTCGATGAAGTTCATTTTTTTTTATACCTGCATTCCATTTCTTTGATGTCGTGATGATAGCTTTAATTGGAACAGAGCCCGAATCCGGTACTTCTTAGTTTTGGGGATAAATCATAATTCTAGCCGGAGCGCACCGGAGCCCTAAATAAGAAAGCTCCGGCATTTCTTTTATATAACTGAACAACAATTACAGCTTTCTTTGTATTCAGTATTCCTCGGAACTGCCTGTGTAATACTGGCGAATAAATTGTGTTTTGATTCTTCATCCAGTGTTACCGTCAATTACTCCAAATTCTCGAACCAGTAAAACGCAACGATATTTTATTTATTTAATGTTTAATTACACATTATTTATTGTTTTTATTTACGCATTTTCTTCATTGTTTCTAGCAGCTTTGTTATGAGTTCTGGCACCTCTAACTTTTGAAACAACGCCTTGTATGCTTTTGCGTAAAATAACGCTAATTTACAGCTGAAGTTTCATTCTGTAGTTGTAATACATTTTTCCTTTATTATACCGGAATTTAAATGATATACTCCCCACATTTAGATCTGTTTACATTTCTTTTGTCATTCATTTACAAATATTTAATTGTAAATGAAATTTCAATGTAATAGCTCAAAAGATTATTTTAGCTATCATAATGCAATGACATGCGTATACATATAAATGACTTAAAACAGTTTGTTTCTTATTGAAGGTAATAGATGGCAGCACGATCTAATAATCAAACTCGTTTAAATATAAAACGAGTTGTAGTACTTTGTTTCTTTCTGAACATAATAGATGGCAGCACTACCTAAAATATAGATCTAAATGCGAAATGCAAGAATAAATAAATATAACTCATTTGTGAAACACGCAGAAATTTTATTCGAGTTAACTTTCCAAGTCAAAAGTGCTGGAGTCTCAAGGAAAGCATTAAGAAAGATAAAACGAAATAAAATTAGTAAAAAAATAAATAGTGGATAATAAATTAAATAAAATGTAAATAAGAAAAAGATTAATAACAAATAGTTAAATAAAAAAAATAAAAAAATAAAAATCGGAAATCTCATTTCGGAGTCCGGCTAGAATCTGATTTTACACAAAGGTTAAGAACTAGTGGGCCGGGTTATGGCTGAATTAAATCCCTGTATTAGAAATATTAGATAAAATCCAGCTTTTCGATATAAAATTAACGAATATTAGCTGTTAAACTGTAAAATGGGCAAGCTTTTCTTGTTTATTCTTTAAACTTGTTCTTGTTACGTCTTTAAATTCAAAAAATATTTCATTGCGTTGAAATCTCTGATTCTTTTTATTTAAAGCTCTAGATTTCTGGGAAGATAAATATTATAATTATATTTTAACGAATGCAGCGAATAAAATGTTCATTAGACTGAATTTAAATCTGCTGCCTCTTAATTTATCACCAAATACTTAGCTATTGTAATAAACAAATACTGACATATGATAAAAAAGAATTAACGAGTCGTGCATTGTGCAGATAAGGAGCAAGGAGAAGAATTTTAAAGGAACTCTCTGACGTTCACGAAATGCAGACGACATTGGCGTATAATAAATCAAGAGTTTTAAGGGAACTGACACTATGCTGAATTATTATATAAAACTAATAAATTCAAAATAGAATTTTGGCCCATGGGGGGATCGAACCCACGACCTTCGCGTTATTAGCACGACGCTCTAACCAACTGAGCTAATGGGCCTTATCATCCAACGTCAACACGTTGTTCAGTACGCTACTTTTTATGACGTCATAAAACAAGATTTTCTTCGTATGATGTACGTCTAACTAGTATTACGTTTATTTCAGAACAATTCTATTTAAAACTTATTGCAATTGCACTTCAATTATCGGGATAGCTTTTCTTTAATCAAACAATTGTGTAAAAGTAAACCACAGCCAGGCTAGCTATTTCCAATTTAGTTGAATGGAATCGCGAATAAGTAAATAGTATCGCAAATAATAGTAAAATCTACTACTTCTGCAGTAGATACACATTTGCCTGTGGCTGATGATTCCGAATTATGGAAGTCCATTATTGCAATCCCAAGTACAATCTTTAAAAAAATGATCCCAGATATTATCAAAACCTGGTTTCCAGTTTTGGTTTCCCAAAAGACAAAAATGGACGTAAATTTTCTGAAGTGTATTTTTGTCTAATCTTGCCAAACAGCGAAAGAGTTAAAAGGGATTGGTTGCTGTATTCTGTTGGAAAATTCTGTTTATTGGTTTTGTTGCAAAATTTTTAACGGTTTTTAGCAACATAAAATTGAGTAGTTCTGGATTTAATACCTGGAACACTTCAGTGAGCACTTCGCGAAAAGTAAAATACATTTCCGGAACCTACATCTTTGATCCGATTTCTTAGACCGATTACGAAAGGATAAAACTACTGATTCAAAATTTCAAAATTTATTAAAAAAAGAAATTAAGCATTGGCGCGATGTTATTGAAAGAATTATCTATGCCATTCAGTTTTTAGTTGAACAAAATTTGCCTTTCATGGTTCCAGTAACAAATTATTCGAAAGAAATAATGGTAATTTTCTAATGTGTATAGAAATTATCCCAAGATTTGACCCCATCATAATCTGCACATATTATAAAACTCAAATTCCAAAAAATTACTCTCATTATCTCTGAGATAAAGTTCAAAATAAAACAATTAGCTTATTAGGGGATCCTATAAAACAAATTATTTTAAAATAAGATCAAACAGGCAAAGTATTTTTCTATTTTACATGATTATACCCCTAATGCCAAACATCAAGAGCAGATATCAGTTTGTATAAGTTATCTTAATGTCGAAAATACAGAAGTGAGTATCGAAGAAAGGTTTTCAGTATTTTGTCCAGCAAAAGATACGACTAGTGAAGGACTAACAATATACTTATTAAAGACTTTAGAGGTAAATGGCTTAGGTATTAGTAATTTACGCGGCCAAGGATACGACAATGGTTCAAAAATGAAAGGTAAACATAGCGGTGTGCAGAAAAGAATTCAAGATATCAACCTAGAGCATTTTTGTGCGCTGTTGTAATCACAGTTCGACTGTGATTAATCGGGTAACTAATCTCTCGTCCATTTTAAAAAGGCATGTTTAAAATTTAACACTGAAACCTGTGTGAGACACGAGGTGGTCGAGCCGTATAGATGCAATAGACTTGTTAAAATTTCTGTTAGGAGAGACTTTTAGTGTCCTCTATGAAACAACGGAAAAAAAAATTTTACAACACCACAAAAAATTAGGCCACATCTTTAGGGGAAAAAATTCAAAAATTTAATTTTATATGTATGGTAGTTTTATGGCATAAAATACAGAACAAAGTTAATGTTGTTAGCAATATTCTCCAAATTAAAAATTTTAATATTTTTTAGACTTCTGAAAGTTTAAATAAATTGATTGTACCCCTGATGTAAGAGCTGATATCATCAAGCACAGATATCAGTTTGTATGAGGTTCAAAAAGGCTCAGATCAGATCTATAATCAGGTTTTATCAGATCTTTAATCAAGATTCTGTTAAAGGCTTCAATGATATGCTTACCGAAAGTAAAGAACTGGCATCTTCTTTAGATGTTAATACAAATTCTAAAGTCAAGAAACAGTAACACCTCGAGAAATTAAAAAATATATATATATTTTATGAAGGCAAAGGACCATTTTACGAAGGCAAAGGAGCAGCCTATACAGAATGTTTACGAAGACCAGCCTATACAGAATGAAGTAACTTCAAAGTAAATTGCTTTTTTGGAACTTTAGATGTTGCGATATCATCTTTAAATGAAAGCTTTGATCTCTTACCTTCTCGTTCAGAAGTTTTTAAATTTTTGTGGAATATTTCTGACTTCAATAAATACTCTGAACAAGATCAGCTCAATATCTATCAAAAACTGCTCAATATCTATCAAAAAATTTTATCATTAATTGATAAAAATCAAAACAATATAAATAGTGTAGATCTTATGCATGAACCACAGTTTTTACAAACTTTTGGGAGAAAAGTAGCATTGCTGGTTGAAATTCTAAGCTATATAGTTGTCAATAACTTAACTCACTCCTTTCCTAATACTATTATTATTGCTTTATGCATTTTATTGACAATTCCAGTCTTAGTAGCTACAGCAAAAAGATCATTTTCAAAATTGAAAATAATTAAAAATTAACTGAGATCTACCATGGGTCTTGCAATTATTTCAATTGAAAAGGATATTTTATAGATTTACTTATAAATCAATTTGTGAAAAATAAAGCACTAAAAGTTCAATTGCAATAATTTCACTCCTACTAAATATTCAAATTATTTTGTTTTCAGTGCATTTGGTTTATTATATTACACAATTAATGTGAAAATGGATTTAAGGAGTTAAGCCACTTGAGATGCTTAAAAGG